AGGTCTCAAATTCCATGTATTTCTTCTTCTTAGTAGCTGTTACATTTGGAGTCTACCTTTGTATGATTGTTTGACTCAGTATCTGTTTCTTCCAGGGAACATCCAAAAGTTCCTCAAGGGAACAGGCCGGGTCTGCTTTGCTAATCAATATTTAAAAACTGAATGAGTGAAGTAGGCGGGAGAGATTAATTTTAAAATTCATTCTGTTAAAGAGGTAAAACAACCTGAGAATAGCATCTCGCTTGGAATTCTGTGTTGAAATATTCAATACAACTGCAGGTTATTTTATTGGCATACCTGAGAAAAGATGTCTTTTTTCCCATACTACGTAGACATTTCAGCATTATCTACACTAATACATCTCAAAGTGTATTTCAGAGAACCCTGGCATTTGCAGCAGAACACATTAATGTCAGTATTTATTTGTACTTAGTAATTCCAAAGTTTACAGTTTGACATTTTAGGCTATAGTTAATCCTCTGGATTTAGTGCTCTTCCTGAGAAAAATGGAAACACTGCTTCCCTTGTATAGTTGTTAAGAATATATATTTTAGACTTTTAGTATTTATAAATTTTAATCATTTTAAGCGCTGGAAGAATGGGAAGGCTGAAGGAGAGCTGGCGAGAATCGCTAGAACTAGAACTTTCTTTTGAAAAAAAGGAAACAAAAAAATCAATAATGATTCACCAAGTTCAAGTTGAAAGGTTTACTATAGTACTGAAGTAAAATCACAGGTGTATTGCTGAAGGAGAGAGGTCACTTTTTCCATGGCTTGACATAATGGAGACAGTGAAGCTGAAATAGTGAGAAACAGCAGGGCGAAGGAGGGAAAACCACAACCTGTTTTAGTTTTGTGGAAAAGTTTTTAACAGTGCTAAACTTTATCCTTCACATTTTTATAAGTTGCAGAAAGGAAAGTCTTAAAAGGCTCTTAAAATTAAATCTGTATGTGTCCATTTCTATAACATTCTCAAAATCACGAAACTGTAGAGATGGAGAACAGATTAGCAGTTGCCAGGGGTTGGAGTTGGGGCACAGGGTTCTATGAGCTTTCATCTATGCATCCTGAAGCTCTGTGTCTGTGAGCTTAAACATTTAGAATGATTTCCTCTTGATCCTTTCATCATTAGGAAATCACATCCTTTTAAAAAAAATTTACTTATTTAATTCCTGTAAAAGTAACATTCATATATTAATTTCAGGTGTATGATACAGTGATTCCACAGTCCACAACTCAGTGCTCATCACGATGAGGGCACTCTTGATCCCTTTCACCTGTTTCACCCATCTCCCCCTGCCCCCCACCTTCCAAATAGAAGTGAAATTGTATGGAACAGGATGGAGCTCCTCAAAGAAATTAAAACTAGAATTGCCATATGATCCAGTAATTCCACTACTGGGTATTTACTCAAAGAAATGAAAACACTAACTTGAAAAGATATGTGCACTCCTATGTTTACTGCAGCATCATTTACAATAGCCAAGATAGGGAAGCAACCCATGTGTCCATCAATAGCTGAATGGATATAGAAGAGGTGGTGTGTGAATAAACCATAAAAAAGAAATGAAATCGCCATTTGCAGCAACATGGATGGAGCTAGAGGCTTTGATGCTAAGTGCAGTCAGTCAGTGGGATGACCTTCTTTATTACTGGTAATGTTCTAAGTCTGTAATTAACAGAGCCATTCCATCTTTCTTTTAATTAGTGTTAGCATGAAAGGCGTATCTTCTTCCTTTTAATCAGCTTGCAGCTTTCGAGTGTTTCTGTATGCAGCATAGAGGATTACCTTACTTTTTTAACCAATCTGAAAATTTCTGCCTTTGAATTAGGGTGTACAGACATTTACATTGTGTGTGATTATTAATAGGGTTAGGTTTGAGTCTGTCATTTTGCTGTTTGTTTTCTGTTTGTCTCTTCTGTCCTTTTTAACTTCTTTCATTCCCCTTCTGCCTTTTTCTTTTTGGATTGAATTTTTTTTTATGGTTCTATTTCATCTCCTATATTGTCTTACTAGTGACAGCATCTTTTTCTTAATTTTGTGGCCACTTTGGGGTTTATTGCACACGTATATTGATCCCATCTACCTTCAGGTGATGTCACACATTCCACAGATGGCAGAAGAAACTCACACAGTGGGATGAAACATACAGTAGTATGCTTTCCTTTCCCCTGTCCTGGCCTTCATGCTATCTTCTCATGTATTTTATTTATATGTATGTCGTAAACCCCACACTAACTTGTTATTTTTGTTTAGTCAGTAATCTTTAAAGAGATTTAAGTAATAGAAAAAAAATTGTTATTGATTTACCCCTGTAGTCACCATTACCAGTGCTTCTCGTTTCTTTGTTTAAATTCTTATTTTCCTCTGGTAGCCTACTCCTTCTGCCAGGACTTTCTTTAGCATTCCTGGTAGTGTGGGTCTGTTGGTGGTTATTGCTCTCAACTCCTGCATGTCTGAAAAAGTCTATTTATCACCTTTATTTTTTCAAGGGTAATTTCTCTGGGATCATCATGTTTTCTTTCAGTACTTTACAGATGTCTTCTGGCTTGCATTGTTTCCAATGAAGAAACTTGCTGAGATTCTTAGTTTTGTTCCTCTGTACATAGTATGTCTTCTTTAATTCTGTCTGCTTTTAAGATCTGTCTCTTTATTACTGGCTTTGAAGTATTGATCGTGATATATAGTTTATTCCTATTTCCTGTGTTTTGGCTTTATTGAACTTCTTGGATGTGTAGGTTTATTGTTTTCATCAGATTTGAAAATATTTGGCTATAATTTCTTCAAATATTTTTTCCGTTCCCACATCCTCTCTTTCAGACACATGTATTAGGATGCTTGAAGTTGTCCCACAGTTCACTAATGTCTATTTATTTTTCATTCTTTTTTCTCTGTGTTTTCATTTCACATAGTTTCTATTGCTATGTCTTCAGTTCATTAATCTTTTCTTCCGCCATTAATCCCATCTAGTGTGTTTTTCATTTCAACTTGGGTCTTTTGAGAAAACTTATGTGTCTCTACTTAATTTTTTGTGCATAAGGAATACCGTCCTTACGCTCCTGCCTGTTCATTTGAACATCTGTATCTAATATCAGGACCCCTCTCTCAATAATTGGGTTCTTCATTTTTCTCATTTCGGGCCATATTTTTCTGCTTCTTTGAATACCCAGCAGTATTTGCTTAGATGCCAGACATTGTGAATTTTACCTTTTTGGCCAAGGAATATTTTTGTATTCCTATTAAATAATCTTGAGCTTCATTCTGGGGCCCAGTGAAGGTACTCAGAAACAGTTTGATCCTTTTAGGCCTTGCTTTTTTTTTTTTTTTTAAGATTTTATTTATTTATTTGACAGGCAGAGATTACAGGTAGGCAGAGAGGCAGGCAGAGAGACAGGAAGAAGCAGGCTCCCCGCCGGGCAGAGAGCCTGATGTGGTGCTCTACCCCAGGACTCTGGGATCATGCCCTGAGCCGAAGGTAGAGGCTTTAACCCACTGAGCCACCCAGGTGCCCCTCGGTCTTGCTTTTTTTTTTTTTAGGTCTTGCTTTTTAAATAAAATTAGTTTCTTCAGGCTAGGGTTCTTTGTTCCCTGCTGCTGAGGCAAGACCCTTTAATGTCCTTGGAATCAAGAGGCTTCCCCGTCTGTCTGGAGTTCGAGCCCTGCATGAATGTGAGGTACTCTCCCCTCTCATCTCCTAGCCCTCGGGTAGTTTCATCACCTGCATGTACTGATCAGTTCTCGGTTGGATACTCAGGCAGTGTCCTCTGCACAGCTCTAGGGTTTTCTTTCTTTGTACCTCTCTCCTTTCCTGTGCGCCGCCCAGTGAACCTGAAGCCCCACCTTGTCAATGCAGGGTGTCTGCCAGCCTCCCCCTGGGCAGGTGGAAACTCCTCACGGCAATACGCAGGGGCATTCGTAGCGGTCACCTTAATTGTCGCCCATCTCTCAGGGATCACTATCCTGTACGGCTCAATGCCCCGTGTCGTGAACATAATAGTTTCCTATGTTTTGTTGTTGTTGTTGTTTTCATTGATGGTTTTAGGTGGGAGGGTAAATAAAGTTCTTGGTATTCCATTTAGTTGCGATTGGAAATCTCAAAATTGGGGTTTATTTTTTCTTTTGCTTATTTAATATTCCTCTTATTTGAAGAAGAAAGTTGTATTTTAACCATTTATGTGTAAGCCGATTTCTAATCATGCTTGCTGTATTCAAGTTTATGAAGATCTGAAGTGGGGTGAAAGGGGGGGCACAGAAAATAAAAACAGTGAAGTGCCACTGCTTACCCCAAAGCTCTCTGATTTACGCTTTGGTAGGTTGTTGATCTGCTGGATTATGAGTCCCCTTTGTTCCTTTTGGAGAGAGAGAGTCACCAAATGTGTTGTATGAATGTGCACTCAAAATGTATGGAAGATGTTATAAATCAAATGGTGATGGTCTTTGTGTTTTGATCTACACCATTAAAACTTTGACAGTAAAATATTGTAGAGGAAACGTAATGAGAGAACTTACTTCAGTAGATATTAAAATGTATTTTAAAGCTATAATAATCAAAATATTGAAGTAGTAATGCTAATATTGACACAGATTAGTAGACCAAAATAGAATTTCCATAGGCAGACTTATAAATCTAATTTAAACATTTAGCATAAAGGAACTATTTCAGGCATGCGTTATTCAGAAGATAACTTTGGTACAACCGGACAATTCATTGAAAAAAAGAAAAGTTGGATCTCCTCTCCATACCTTAAACCCAGCTATATTTCAGATAGATTAAAGATAACAACGTTGTTGGGAGAAAATGTAAGTGATTCATATAGGCTTGAGGGAGAGAGGGCCTTTTTAAGTATGACACAGAGGGTACAACCAAATTGGAGTTAGAGAGTTTACAAAGAAAAATCATTCAAACAGAAGGAAAAAAGAGAGAGAGAGAGAATAAGGTAAATAAGGTGAGCAAGAAAGCAAATGTCTTTTAATTTAACAAATTCATTATTTCTTTTCAGAATATTTAAAAGATGCTTCAAAGAAGATGAAAAGTGGGCTTATATTTGTAAAATTGGTTAACCCGTGTTCAGGTAAGCTTTCTTCCCCCCTTCTCTTCCGATTACAGTAACTCTAATATTTTTTTAACATTGCGCATAAAAAGTGTATATACTTATTTACCTTTGTACGTTTGTTCTTCCTTAATAGGTTTTAAAAGTAAGTTGGCATTGCTGGGTGACAACAGCGAGCCTGGCCTAAATTTTGTTTATTTCTTTTAATTTAAATCCATAGAACTATTCACTCATCAGAAATACATACAAGACAGAAAGTGGTGTGTTTGGCTTCTCTCTGAAAACAGACTGTTTTTCTCTAGCTTTCTTAAGCCAATTCTTCTTAAATAGTTTTCCAATATTAATGTCCACTTATATTCATTTTATGTTGTAAAATAAACAGCCAGAGTAAAAAAGAAAAAATAGAGTTTTTACTTGACATGCCAAGATTTTGAGTGTTTTCATTTTTAGTGGTACTTTCCTTATTTTGTTCTAACCAAAAGGTGGTATATTTGTTCCCATTCAAAGAGGTGATTTTTTTTTATATTAAAAGCATTGTATACAGATACATATTTTATTGCAACTAATTTCATTTTAACTTTATATTCAATGCATTTTGTTTCCTAATTTTTAGGCAAAAATATTAAAATATACCATAAAATATAGTAATACTGATATTTATCTCTATGTGGGTTTTTTTGTTAATTTATTTCACAAGGTTTATGTTATAGGGTTGTTATTAATTTTGTAAGATTTTGTGTAGACATCTGATACTTAGCAAATTAGAACATTGTGCTGGCGGGTACAATATTGAATAGTAAAAGCAAGAGAAATTTATTGGGTAGTGCCTTGTTACCATTGTTGATGGAAAGACATAAATAGAAGCCACAAAAAAAGCAAAAAGTCCTGGCTTCTTCCAGTTTCCTTTTCCTCAAGATGGAATTGAATTTGAATTGAAAATTCCTATTATCTTTAACTTCTAATTTTTTTTCTAATTTTTTTTTCACATTTTTTTCTAGAGAAGTCTTAGGTAGCAGTAAAGGTTGTAAAGCATTTAATGAAAGTAAAGGTATACAAAAAAATCAGGCTTCTTGTAAAATTTCTGTTTTATCTAAATGTCCATAAACAACAGAGGAACAAATGTTCGCATTTACTACATTGACTGTGGAAAAATAAAGGCTAACATGTGCTGAACATTTACTGTTTTAGGAACTTTACATGTGTTCTGCCTTTCTAATCCTTACAAAACCCTGTGAAGTAGTTCCCTATTGCTTCCATTTTACAGATAGGAAACAGAGGCACCAAAAGGTTTGCACAACTTCCTCAAAGGCACACCCCCAGCATGTGGTCCACATAGATTCAAACTCAGGGTCCTTGATAGTGCTGTGTTTAGAAAAAAATTTCATGCATCAAAGGGCCCTTGCCTTTCTCACTTAGTGCTGGCCCTCGGGGTCTATCTTGGGCCCTCTGGTGACAGGACCCACATGCCAGCTCAGTTCATCTGGCGGAAGCGTCAGGCTTGGGTAGTTTAAGAACTGGTTTTCCCTTGCGATCTAATGGAGGAGTCAATGAGAGGCTTTGTAGCAGTTAAGATGAATGATTGCGTTTTTTTTTTTTAATTTATTGGTTTAAGTTCAGTGAGGATTATAGAGCTGAGAAACAAGCATCTGTATATAATAGCTATAAACTTTCCTCAGAGTCAGTTTGTATAGAATATATCTATGTATGTTTATGTCCATATTAGGAACATTCCTCAGAACTATTGGACAGTCTTTTGATTTTGTGTGTGTGTGAAAACTTACAAATAAAAAACAGATCTGTCTTAACAGGGGAAGGAACCATTTACTTGTTCAATATGTGTCAACAGCAGCTGTTTGAAATAAAAGTTTTCAAGGAAAAACACCATTCTTGGTTTATAAATCAATCAGTCCAATCAGGTAAGTGACTAGTGTATATATTTCTGTTAACTAAACACATACTCTAGCTTTTCCATCCTTCATGCGTTGGAGTGCAGGCCTGTCTGCCCAGTTTGGAGTCTGGTCCATGTTTTGGCCTTCCTTGGCATCAGAGCAGGATTTAATCAGGGGGAAAGGAAAGATAGTTTGAACAAGTTTAAATCAGTATCTATGTATCTTAGATAGTAGGCAAATTTAAACTAGTAACTCCACTTTGTCTCCTAAAACACAGAGGCCTCCCCGGTCGGGAATTAGGTCATTTTTCTAACACGGGAGTGTACACTGTGTGGACTGGGAACTCTTTGTTCTTCTTTTAGACACTTTTGAGGATCTTCAGGTGTTAACGTCTTACTTCTGTGCAAATGGATGCACTTCTAAAATGAAATAGAATATAACAAAGACTTTTTTAACGTGTTGTCATAAAATTACTACTGTCCCCACCCTTCACCCCCCCAACACACATACCCAACACCAAAGTTCTGATTCTTTTAATGTTCCTCTAATTTGGGGGCAGTGTTGAGTCAGAAGGAGAAAGGATTCCGCATGTTCTGATGGTTCAAGGAGTCGGGGGAAGGGCGAGTCAGCGATAGTTGAGGCCATTGTACATTCCCTCTACCTGTGTTCTCATTGTTTCCTGAGAGTATTTTCTATTTCTTTGTAAGCCCTCTGCTTTCTGTTGACTGTGTATGTCTCCACTTAGAGCCAATGTAGAAAGGCCACTTTGTCTTTCTTCTAGGACGTTCCAGAACAAGAGTTTATTGCTGGTGATAAATTTCATATACCTGTGTGCATGAAAATATTTGAAGTGGCTTTCAGTTGCCAAAATGCAATGGCAGACTGTGATATAGTCTGGCAGGTGGAAAGTATATATTCTCTTTTATTGTCGCTGCTATGCTTATTCGTTTGGCCAAGTATGAGAGTTCTAACTTCTAACGTAATACACTTGCAGTTGGGTTTAGCTAGGTAGACACAATAATATCCTGATGAAACTGGGAAATATTGGGAGGCAGTGATTGATCACCTCTCCTGGACTGTCTGAGTTGGTACCTGCTTTTTTTTTCTTTTTAATAGACCTTATTTATTTGAGTGGTTTTATGTTCATAGCAAAGGTGCCTGCTTTTTTCATCATTGTCTTCTTTTTAAACTTAGCCTTGAAGAAAGAGCTGCTTTTAAGAATAGCCACCAGGATATTGTTTTCAGACCTAGAAACCTGTTCCTAATTTCTATCACGGATGCCTCATATAAAATGAGCTTAGAGCTTCTGATAGGTTGTCTTCATAAGTTTCTCTTCTACTTTAAAAAAATAATCAAGTAATATCATAATATGAAATTACTTTCTTAACTTTTTTAACTTTCTGTGAATTGGAATCATATATATAATTTAGGGTTAGAATTTCTTGGTTGTATAGGTAGGTTGCTCTGTTAGGGAATCAAAGAAAGTACATATGTTTTCTGAAACCAAAATAAGTATAAAGATAAAGGAATTGTTTATTGTTCCATGTGATGAAATATCTCTTCTCGTTCACCTCCATGGAAGAAGGAGTGTGTAAGAAGGAGCTTAGCGAGGCTGTGATAAAGGAAAGAAGAGTGGGGACTAGGTAGTTAGTTTTCTTGATTTGCTTCTTTTCCTTCCAGCCTGGATAGTAACCTTACTACAGAGTCTCCTGTTCCTTATGTTCAGTCTTGTTAGACTTGTTTCCTCTTGCCTTTTCCTTAGGGAGTAGGAGGATAGGGTAAGGTCTGAATAGGGTGGGATCTCAGGTGGGGAACCACCTTCTCAGCTTTGAATTATTGGCAATTCCAAGCTGTGAACGCACAGACCATAGAAGGAGCTATTCATGGAGAGAATAATATTGCTTGCCCATGGCTTCATCCTCAAACGCATAGGAAATGACATCTTACTGCAGCTTTATAGATAAACTTACACATACAGGTCTTCTAATGTTTGCCTGGTTCATGTTTTGTCAGTATTTCCCCCAACTTTGCCCTTTTTTGGGGTGGTAGGAGGACCTCTGTTAAAAATGATTTTTATGGACTCTGGGAAACGAACTGAGGGTTTTAGAGGGGAGGAGGGTGGGGGGATGGGTTAGCCTGGTGGTGGGTATTAAGGAGGGCACATATTGCAATGAGCACTGGGTGTTACATCAAACAATGAATCACAAAACACTACATCAAAAACTAATGATGACTAACATAACACAATAAAAACACAATAAAAAATGATTTCTAAATATTTCATATCTTCTTTATTCATTCATACTTCAGTGGACACTTAGATTGTTCCCATCCCTTGGCTATTGTAAATAATGCTGCAATAAACATCAGGGCACATGTATCTTTTTGAATTAGTGTTTTTATTTTCTTTGGGTAAATACCCAGTAGTGGAATTACTGGATCATATGATATTCCTATTTTTACTTTTTTGAAGAATCTCCATACTGTTTTCCACAGTGGCTGAACCAGTTTGCATTCCTGCCAATAGTGCACAACGGTTCCTTTTTCTCTACATCCTTGTCAACACTTGTTATTTATTATATTTTTTATTATTTTCATTATTATTATTTCTTGTATTTGATTTTAGCCATTCTAACAGGTGGGAGTTGATATCTCATTGTGGTTTTGATTTGCATTTCCCTGATGATGAGTGATGTTGGGCATCTTTTCATGGGTCTGTTGGTCATGTATGTCTTCTCTGGAAAAATGTCTATTCAAGTCTTTGGCCCATTTTTAATCAAATTATTTGTTTTTCTGGCATTGAATTATATAAGTTCTTTCTGTATTTTGGGTATTAACCCTTTATGGGATATATCATCTACAAATATCTTTTTCCATTCGGTAGTTGCCTTTTCCTTTGGTTGATGGCTTCCTTCACTGCAGATCTTTTTTTTTTTTTTTTGGTGTAGTTCCAATGGTTCATTTTTGCTTTTGTTTCCCTTGCCTGAGGAGGTATATCTATATCTATCTATATGTACATATAGATATAGATATGTACATATAGTATATGTACATATAGATATAGGTGTCTATCTATATCTATATGTATATAGATAGACACCTATATCTATATGTACAGATAGATAGATAGATACACACAGACACACTTACACTTAAAATGGATTATTACTCAGCCATAAAAAGGAATGGGATCTGGCCATTTGTGACCACATGGATGGACCTAGAGGGTATAATGCTACATGAAATAGGCCAGACAGAAAAACAAATACCATATGATTTCACTCATAAATGGAATTTAAGAAACCAAACAATAAAAAAAGAAACAAATTTAAAAAAAATTCTTTTTTTTTTTTTTTTTTAAGATTTTCTTTATTTGAGAGAGAGCACAAGTTGGGGATAGAGACACACAGACTCCCCACTGATCAGGGAGCCCAACACGGGGCTTAATCCTAGGCACCCACCCCCATCATGACCTGAGCCAAAGGCAGATGCCTAACTGACTGAGCCACCCAGCTACTCCCCAAAAAACAGACTCTTAAATACAAAGGGCAAACTAGTGATTGCCCGAGGGAAGGTGGGATGGGGGGTGGCTGAAATAAATAAAGGAGATGAAAAGGTGCAGACTTCCAGTTGTAAAATAAGCAAGTCACAGAAGTGAAAAGTACAGCATAGAGTCTATCAGTAAGACTGTAATAATGTTGTGTGCTGACAGATGGTGACTACACTTACCGTAGCACATTCTGCCTTTCAAAAGAGTCCTGTAGAATCATGCGCCTATGTAAGAAGAGCTTCTGAATTTAGAATTTCACATATATTTTTCAGGGAATGGTTTCCATATTGGGATTATAACTAAGTTGTCTTTCTTTCTTTCTTTTTTTTAAAGATTTTTATTTATTTATTTGACAGACCGAGATCACAAGTAGGCAGGCAGAGAGAGAGGAGGAAGCAGGCTCCCTGCTGAGCAGAGAGCCCGATGCTGGGCTCGATCCCAGGACCCTGGGATCGTGACCTGAGCCGAAGGCAGAGGCTTTAACCCACTGAGCCACCCAGGCGCCCCACTAAGTTGTCTTTCTAAGACATTTAATTCCTTTTGTTCTCTTTTTAATCTGTAGGAGGTCTTCTCCACTTTGCCACACCCATGGACCCTCTATTTCTGCTTCTCCACTACCTCAGAAAGACTGGTAAAGAGGTGAGTTTCTCTGTTTGGGACTTTAACAGTGAGGGAACAGAATAGATCATTTTTTTGCTTGATCTTCTCTCTCTCCTTTTAATGACCCAAATGTTGTAGAGTCCCAACAATTCAGATATAATTTAGTTTGATTCAGGTTGGTGGATTTGGTCTAGAACACCTGTATCACGTGTGCTGGGGTGGGTGAGAGCACTGACACAAACCTGAGTGCCTGCACTAATCTCTGACTGCTTTACCTGTGACTTTTACGGCTGGCCTAGTCCTCTATGCCCCATGACTTCTTGTTTGACAAAAAGCCTAAGGACGAGGAGGATTTTATCGTTAAGTACTCATTCGTTTTGAAATACAATACAAATGTTAAGAAACTGACCCTGGCCCTTAAGAGAGGAAAGAATACATTTTCTTTCATTTTCTTTCTGTGAGATGTTAAATAGGTCAGCTGGGGTGTGCCTAGTAAAAACTCATTAACCTGGAAGCTGTACTTGCGACTTAAGGAATCCTGTGTGATTGAAATACATCCTTCCATCCAATAAGAGTTCATTAACAGTAATCGGTTCAGTCAGAGCTTCTAAAACATTTAGGTTTTAGGACACCTTTGTACTTCTAAAAATGTTTTAGGATCCCCAAAAGCTTTTTGTTCCTGTGGGTTTTGTCTATCAATATTTACTGCATTAGAAATTAAAACTCAGAAACTTAAAATAGTTTTATTAATTTATTTTGAAATAAAAATAATGAGACCATTACATGTTAACATAAATAACATGTTTTTAATGAAACAAGTAATAAAATTCAGTGAAGAGTGTGGCATGTTTTCCATTTTTGCAAATCTTGTTGCTGTCTGGCTGAATAGAGGACATCGAGATTCTCCTATCTGGTTCTGCATTCGGTCCATTTCCGTATATTGTTTCCATGGAGGTATATGAAGAATTTGCAGCCTCACACAGACATGGAGTCAGAAAAGGGAGGACTGGTACAATAGCACTTTCAGGCAACTGTACTCTTTGATACTAATCTAAAAACCAACAAGGGGAAGTGGTTTCTTAAAAATCCGTTGCAATGTAGAATCTGAAACCCTGTCAGTGAATTTCCTGTGTTCTGTTTACATGAGAATCCATTGGTTTGCCTTGCACTGAAAATGGATTTTTTACCCATGAAGGACTTTGTAATATCATGTCTTGGTCATTTGGAAAATATTGCTCCACTGATTTCTGCAGATCTTCCAAATGTTAACACATCTCATTTCTCTCCCTCCTCCGTTAATATCACCACTGATCTCATCAGAAAACTATATGTTGGGAAGCTGTCATAGCAGATACAACTTTTCTACAATTCTAATTTTTGCTTAGAAGTTAAAATTATATCACCGGCTGCAAGTACTTTCAGTCTTTTCCTTGAAGTCACAGGCTCACTTCTTTTATGTTCTGCCAAATACCCAAGTCTGAACAGCACTAGTCTGTAATGGTTTTTTCAGTTAAAAATGGTATCCCACAAAAAGTAGTTATTTCTGCCTTTTGACTCAGTGATGCAAGCACTTTTCCTTGAGGTGATTATTGCGCCTGGGTAGCAGCAGAAGGGGCTTCAGCATCACTTTTAACACACAGAATATTTAAAAGATTTGCACTCAGGGTCAAGGTTTAACTAAAAATAATTGCTTTTACTCCTTGATCAAGGGTATCCTGAAGTGACACTGGCTTTCTTTCTTTCTTTCTTTCTTTCTTTTTTACCTGCCTGCATGGCAGTGAAGAGCACAGGAGCTGCAGGACAGGTTGGTGCCGTGGCCATGACTGGTGCTAAGAAGCCTGCAGTTCTGCCTCCCTTGGCCGTGCACATGTCAGCACACTGAAGATGCAGATAGCATCCTAGCATTATTGTGAAAATAGTCTTGAGCTCTGGACCCCCTGAAAGGGTCCGAGAGAGCCCCCCCAGCATCTACCAACCACAGTCTGAAAATCTGTGAATTAACAATTTTAAGGAATAAGGGTTATTTTAAACTGCTTAGAAGAATCTGGTCTTCGTACTCTGATATTTGCTTATAGTTTAAATGTTTATGGGCTTGTCTTATTTAGTCCTTACACCAAATTTCCAAAACTTCCATACGGTGGGTGTATCAGTTTAATTTGCTGTAAAAACCAAAAGCAATAAAACGGACTTCAAACTTTAAGTCACGCTGTCTCTGGAAGCAGCTTAGCTTCTTTCTTCCCCTCCTTTGCTGCATCCTCTGTCCGTTACCCTGGATTGGCGAGGTTTTATTCCTTACTTCATTCATGGTGCTCATTCTCTGGAAGCTACCATGGAGCCAGCATATTTAGGGTATATGAGTGGCGAGGACAGTAAGTCTTCATCTCTAAATGAACAGAAATGGTCTGGTCACCACCAGAAGCAAGGACCTGATCGTATTCAGTTGAATACTTCAGTTGGCTCCCATTTGTTTTCTAGGGTACATTAACAGAGGGAAAGTCACCAGCCAGCCTTAGCACCTGTACTGATGCACATTTAAAGCCCCTCCCCCCATGTCGTGGGGTTGTTTCCCTGTGTCCCACTGAAACCATGACCATGATGAATTACCCTCACCCTGGGCCTCTTGGGAGTCCTGAGGGCTGTTTCAAGTCGACAGACACAGAATGAAGCAGAGTGGTGATTGGCTTTCACTGTAAACCACCTTACTTTTTCTTCTCAAATACTTGAAGTACACTATAAAATAACTCATGAAACATTTAGGTATTTCCTTCCCTACATGTTAGACACAATATTTTCTTATTGAGTTAAAGAATATTGGTAGGCACTTTTGAAATGTTGACCTACGCTTTTTTAATCATAAGATTTAACATCAGAAAAGTTCTTCTAGAATTTCTAGCTATCCCAACTGTTACTAACTTTATATTCAAAACAAGTTGCTTCTTGTATTACCTTTTTGAGTATATATGGTAAAGAAAGTGAGAATGAAATATTAATTACTTATGAAATTAACATAACTGTGTGGCAGTTCATTGTATATGATTATTTTAAATTGCTAAATACTTAAAATACTTGTTGACCATGAAAGAATATAGATTAAGGTAGATATCTAAAGACAGGCAGACTTGGAAAATGTGTGGATATTGTTACTATCTGAAGGAAGAAAACAGTATTGAAATTGAGGCATTTCTTGCCACTCGTTGACTTAACAGAAAGTATGACAAGCTTTGACATATGCTACTGAATGAATGAGATTTCACCCTTCAAACCAAAGAAAGCTGCATTTGCAGAAAGAAAACGGATCAGACGGTTTCTTTGTCTCCAAATGGAGTTGTCACCAAGACAGAAAAGCAGAGTGAGCTAAAAGTGGGACATGGGCAGAACCATACATTTTTTTATAAAGTTCACTATTTCCAAGTCAGGGGAGTAATGATTTAGACAGACTCTATGCTCCTGCACAGTTAAGTAAAAATAACCTGATTGAATAGAAGAATATTCTGAACTTCTATGTTCTGAATTCTGGCCCATTGGCTACCAGGCCTTGCACAACTCTGGAGATGGGTCTGATTTAACATGTGTATAGCTTCCTTGTACTTATCCCTCTGGCTGTCTTTTCTTTTCTCATGGTCTACATTTGGAAGCACTATCAGACAGTTCTGGCAGGAGCAGATTCATTTTGGTAATTTTCTCCTTGCTGTAGCATTTCTTTCTTCAGCCCTGGGGTAAGGATAGAGAGGGAAGCTATTTGCTCTGTGTGTGATCTGGGCTTTTTCCTGAGTGATGGTTAGGACCCCTGCTCTGTGACCTCAGTTGGTTCTTTCTCACAGTGAATGGGTTGGACCAGCCCCGTGCAATCTCTACCATTTCCGTAAGCTTCCATGGCTTCTAGCGCTCTTCTAGAACTTTTCCCTCCTGTGACTGTACTTTTGATATGGGTGGTATGCTGGTTGGAACCCCAGGGCTTTCAAGAGCTTCCTAGAGGGACCTGAGAGTCCATTCTGGAGCCTGTCCCATTGGAGGGGTTCTTTAGGTGAGATAAGTGACTTTGAACTCAGTTTAAAGGTCCAGCTATAAGATGATATATCTTTTTCTTTTTTTTTATAATGTGTGAGTTTGCTGACTGGAGTGCTTGCCTTCTGACTGAATGAAGTCTTTTTTCAGGGAAAATTCCAGCCCCTAAATCAAGTTGTGGTGGATGACATGTTTCCAAATTGCATCTTGTTGCTGAAACTTTCTGATCTTGAGAAGTTACTTCGACATGTGACGGAGGAGAAAGGTAGAGTATATGGCCTTTGAAATCAGGCTTATGGCTGCTGGAAAGGCTGGGCGCCTGTCCCTCTGAATATAAGGCCTGTTCTGTGTCAGTCGGAGGGGAAGCTGTCATTCAGACTTGCTTCCGCTCGTCAGTGCTAGTCCTCTGTTGCACTGGACTGTTCAGTGTTGGAAATTCTAACCAGTGGAATATAGTGGCCTGTCTCCCACAGGGCCAGAAATCACGAGGCTTGGGCTTTGGTCTCAGTTCTTCTTTGAACTAGTCTGTGACTTCAGTTAAGTTCCTTGACTGTTTTCTGCCTCAGATTTCTCTCTTGTAAAATTACATAAAGCCTGTACCTTCATTAAATCAAGAAGTGTTTATTGAATGCCTGCTAAGAAGCATATGTTGATCACTAGAGTTAAACTAGTTATAAATAAGACATTATCCTTTCCCTTACTAGGCTTTGAGTCTATTGGGGACAAATGCAAATAGGGCAATGACAGCAGAGAGCAATCAAAGTGAACTCCTGGCTTTCTGGGGATGCACAGGACAGATTTTTAATCTGGTGGCTGGGGAGTGCGGGGAGTTGGCTATGGTGTTGCTGTCCTGGGGGAGAGGGCCTCTAAGTAGAGCCTTGAAGGGTGAGTCAGAGTAGCAGCATAACGGAGGCATGGATGTATGGGAAAGTTCGTCATGTGTAAGAACCTCTAAGGAGTTCAGGTTAGCCAGAGTATAGAATGCCAGGAGTACATGAAGGTCGGGAACAAAGGAAAGGGGTTTCCACCCTTGCCCATGCAGGGCAAGGTTCAGATGATGAAGGGCCTGATGTGTGTCTGACTTTGTGTGATGGTAGCGGAGCGTCAGCAGAGTTTGAGCAGGGCAGGGCTATAATGTGGAAAACCTACTGGAGAATCGAAGGTCAGGTCCACAGAGGCTGCTGTAGTAGAATGATGGTAGCCTGAACTTAGCACCAGACCTAGCAGATAATAGCCCCAAGTGGTAGAACCAGCGTCATTCGGTATTGGGTGGTAGTCAAGATAGCAGAGGAGTCAGGGATGACTGTTGAGCTGTGCCCTGATCTGCGGTGAGGGTGGCCTCCTGGAGACACAGGTGGGAAGAGCCTGAGGCTACTGAAGGGAGGAGTTGTAGATACTTTTCATTTGAATTTTGAGAGAAGGAAGTAAAGCATATGTGAGCATATGTGAGTATGTTTTGTTAAGTTGGAAACACTATACAAACTTAGCATCCATGTCTCCAAAAAGTCATCCAAGTAGCTTCAGGGTTAACATGGACATAGAGTGTGGGAACCGAACCAACAGGCTGATGAGCTGTGGTTGTTCATGGTTGGTTTGGCAACCGTGACAGTTCTGAGCCCAAAAAAGTGGTGGTTCCAAGAAGTGTAAGCTTACAGTGGGAAAGGGGAGAACCTTGCTGATTACATTTTACATTTTAGGTTCAGCTAAATCACCCTTGACCAAGCTTAGGGCTCCATTTTGGATTTGGAATGTGGCACCAAGGTTTTATCAAAACAGTCCCATTAAAGACATTCCCCGATGCTGAGCTTGGAGGAGATAACAATCTTTTTGTGGGTGAACAAATGAAGTGGCTTATAGCCATTTCTGAAAGCTTAAATAATGAGGGATAAGTATAAGTCATTTTAATTTTGCCAAGCTAACGTAAATTGAAAATGCAATTAATTCATTATCCCAAATGCTTACATGAGCTATATAAAGAGCAGTTATCTTAAACCAAAACCCAGAAACCCAGATTCAGAAACAGTGTTAATGTACTGGCATTTGTTATTTGTTATAACCTGCATTTCAAAACAAGAGCTTCCCTCTCTCTCATTCCTTCCTTCTTTCACTTGGAGCCCCTGACCATTGATTAAATCATTATCTGAACTCCTATTCTAATCTCTTTCACTCCTCAACATTGCCTGACGGCTGGAGTTCAGCTGCTGGAGAAAGTGCATGTCCTTTGCTTATCTTGTTGGACCAGCTCTAAATAAACTTCAAAATACTATGAATTTCCCTTTGGATCTTCATGGGAAAAGATTTCTATCTCAGTATGCTGACCTTGTATACAGAACTGACATAAAGAAAATATTTCACATATTTGTGTTCTGGGTTAAGGGGTAAGGCAAGTAATGTGAGATTGTTTATGTGTATTTTGATGAAGAGGACTTTTTCAGGATGATGCATTTTTAAGAGATGTAAGATATCCTACTATTTCTATATAATTTTTTTTCTCATTTTAAAAATTTTTGGTTTTGTTTTTAAACCTCCCATTATTTTAGGATATACAGATGTCATTTATTAGGAGAAGAATTTGATTATGAAGAAACTGTCAAGACTTTTAGAAAGAATGGCATACATCTTTTACTATATGAAATTTAAGCTGAATTTTCACTTTATGTTTTGCCTTACTATCACTAAAAAAGAAAGAAAGAAAAATTTGAGGCCTAGTCTGTTAGAAACTTGAGAAATATATAGGCTGATAATATATCTGCTTTGAAAATGAAAGTACATGGACTGGTAAAACAATTATTTTAACTTAAGAAAATTAAAGGTAGAAAAAATTCAAATAAAAAAACTGCAAATATTATTTAGTACTCAATCCAATAATCAACCAAAGTTAATATTTTATTATATTTGCTTCGTTTCTTTTTGGGGAAAGAATTTCTTTAAGAACAGTCTGGTAATCTGATTGCAGGATCTGATGGCCTGCAAGGAAAATTAAAAGTATATTTGCTATACAGTTTTGAAGAAATCATTCAAACTTTTCAGTATCCTTGATCTGTCAGATGAAGAGTTTTGAAGGGTTGAGAGTATCCCCCATACGTTATAATTAGTACTTTACAAAGTTGTTCTGTATCATAAAATAAAACAATGATTTTATTCTTTTAGCTTTATAGTGTTGAAATTATTGAGTAACCAGGATGTGAACATTATTTAAGTATTGCAGTTAATAGTATCTGGTGTCTACCATAAAGAGATGTTTCTGGAATTAAATTATGTAATAGAGGTAAATCAATGCCCAGAGAGTACTGGATAGACAGTAAAAGCTCAGTAAATATAAGTACTATTAAGACTTCTGTAGAAATTATTAATTCTTTGCTGATGTGTAAGTACTGGGCACACCCATACACATCTGTTTGATGGTCCATTGCTAAATACGTATTGAAGTGGTTTAAGTAGAATGGGGATAAGTGGTAATAATAAAAATATCTACTATCTAATGCGAAGATATCATCGTATCCTTTCAGTAATTGTCTCTTGTTATTGTTACAACCTGCATTTTTACAAATGAGGAGACCAAATCTCAAAGAGGTGAAGTTGCTGGACTAGTGTCAAAGACGTAGAAGCCGGGGAACCAGAACTGAAGCCTGTGTCTGACAGCCACTTTTTCCTCTCCTTCTTGCAACTGTGCCACACCTTCCAGAACACTCTGGTGGAGTTGTTAGGAGGTATCTCATGTAAAGATAGAAACTTATTAAAAAGAAAAAAACCTTGTATATCCCGTCTTCATAATTTCCCTTTGTGAGGCAAAAAGAGGGAGACAGGAAAGACGGAGAACTATGATAACGTAAGGAAAAGACGATTCTCATCCCGGCAGTGAGCTTTCTATTCTCAGGCACCCATTTCCCTCCTTTCAGCGATAGTCCCAGCTGCCTACTCGAATTTAGCTTACTGTCCATTTATAAATTACTGTTTGGTTCCATTCCATATTTTATTGCTAGGATTTTCAAAAGAAACAAAGAGGACTGCTAAGGAGTGGTCAGGTGATATCCAGGAGAGGGAGCAAAGACGAAGGAGAGAGCTGACGGTCTCTAACGTCCGTTCTCTCCATAGGCACTCTGCAGATAAGAGCAAAACCTGAAACACTCAGATTCCCCAGCCAGCTGTTTCAATATTAGACTTCAGATGCTGTCTCAGAAGTCTGTGGCATTAAAGATCTGGTTAAGCCTGTAGGTTTATGAGCATCTCCCCCTACCTACCTAATCCCTGCCCAGTAAACTCAGCCCCAGTTGTTTGAATCCTAAATGACGATGGCGGTAACCTTAGTTAGCACTGCCTGCTCTACTAGTGAAGGAGATGATGTGTCTGTGTTTGCTAGCTCTGGGGCTCAATCACTTCTTGCCGAAGAAGCTCACATTCAGTGGAGGGATGACAGGGGAAGGGCCTCATAAAGGGTTATGAACTTCATCTTGAATGTCACACTGTTTCATATTGCAAGCCAGAGCTGCACTGGGCTGTCTGATGTGATTAACAAGAAGAGCCAGGAAAACTTACCTGATTAAAATACCTCAAGTACAGTTGCCAAGTTTCTGTCCCCAGGAGGCAGGAAAAAAAAAGAGACTATATGAGTTTCTGTTATGGAAAACATTGGGAAAGTAGATGTGAAAATGTGCTCTAGGCAGTTTGTTCAATAATACATCAGGGAAATTCAGGATTGTGAGCCGAATACCCAATTGCTGAACATGTTACTTAATTGTGGACTCACTTTTATTCCATCCTTATTTTGTAAACCCAATCTTTCCAGATGTTTGAGACCAGTTTTATAGGCACCAGACACATTAAGGAAAGAAACCTTTCCAGCATATGCACATATTATCTAACTCACTAACTCTTGCGAATATTAAATTTAAGACGTGAACAGACATGGTATTTTTCATAATTTTGGGTAACCCGTGGCCTTCATGAATATTTTGAACCCCCTTATCGAAATTTGCGAATTTCAAAATTAAGCAGTTTTTGCACTTGGTCCTTTTGTAGCATCCTGGGATATCCAAGTTGGATATTTCTTAGTGCTTGTTCTTGTCCAAGGAGTATTCAGTTAGAAGCAAACTGACAGTTTAAAACTTCTAGGAAAAAACCTCCAGGCCCAATTAGCATCACTGATGAATTCTGCCATGCCTTAAGATAGAACTAATACTCAAATAATGATACTTACACAAACCCTTTTAGAAATTACAAGAGAAAAGAATATTTCCCAACTAATTTTATGAAGCCAGAATTATCCCAATACCAAATTACTTTTGAAAGAAAACCAGGCCGGGGCGCCTGGGTGGCTCAGTGGGTTAAAGCCTCTGCCTTCGGCTCAGGTCACGATCCCAGGGTCCTGGGATCGAGCCCTGCATCAGGCTCTCTGCTCGGCAGGGAGCCCGCTTCCCCCTCTCTCTGCCTGCCTACTTGTGATCTCTGTCTGACTTGTGATCTCTGTCTGTGAAATAAATAAATAAAATCTTAAAAAAGAGAGAGAGAGAGAGAAAGAAAACCAGGCCAATATCCATTATGATCATAGGCTGAAAAATTCCTAATAAAATATTAGCAAATCAAGTGTATAGAGAGGATAACATATTATAACCAAGTGGGATTTATCGCAGGAATGCAGAGTTGGTTGAACATTAGAAAATCAATCTGCACTGGGTATGTCAGAGCCCAGGCAGTATGGCCCAGAGCCTGTGGTCTCCACTTCTACCGACAGAGCATTTTCAAGAGGATTAAGGAAGGGCCTGCAAGGGGCTCAGGGAGTGCAAGAGAGGAAGGAAATGTTGTAGAACATTCTTTCAAGAAATGTGGACATCAGAGGCAAGAGAGAAGTGAGTAGAAGAGTCTAGATGGGATTTCTTAGGAGAGATCTCTACACTGAACTTCTTTGGAGATTTATCTCAGGCAATGAAGGGAGCTTCTTTAGAAGTTTTAACCCACACAACAGTGTACATTTATTGAGTGATTGCTGTGTGCTCTTAGAATTCCCCTTATTTTTGTACGTGGGCGGGACACTGTCTCCAGGGAAGTTGAGTCCAGTCTTACCTGCCTTGGTTCCACAGCAGGCTCTTTGCCCAGGTTTGCCCCTGGCTCCCACACAGCAACTGTTGCCCCTTGGAATCCTCAAACTCTGACAATGCCATTTGCAACTGTCTCTCCTCCATGATTCCTGTTGACACATCCCAAGGAGATGGGTGCAGAGGCCCAGCCCTCCCTCCATCTTGCCTCCTATCACCCACAGTGTTAACAACCACAGGCTGGAATGGGGAAGGACACATACAGGAGCTAAGGCCAGCCCCTCTCCCATATATATAAACCATTTCATGGAAGGCAAGCAACTTAACAGACTGCTGAAAATGATCCTTGAATAAGCATTTCCATCTCCCATGATGAATATGGAGGAAAGAGAAAATGCCATTCTACATGGCTAGCCAAGTCACATGGGGGGAGTTTGCATCTGGCCCTACGATTTCCAGGGGTCCCAAAGATCACTCCTGCATGAGGCAGGAGGCTGGGAGCGCAGGCCTCTGCCTCTGCCGATTGCACAGAAAGCAAGAAACTCCATGAATGAAGTGTTACTGAGGAAATAACAGCTCATGTCACAGTATGTAAAGCTAGGTGGATTGTGAAGGACGAAGTGTAACTTAGAAGAGGTGGCACTTTTATCCCCAAAAAGGGCCAGGTCAAGCCTATCATAAATCCAAATTCTCCTGAAACATAGTCATGGTTATACTGGTAATGCATTCAAAGATAGGCATAATCTTTTCTTCTTTCTCGCTAATCCCACCAGGAGAGTACCAAGTAGTTAACAAGATTTTTTCCCTCAGTGTCTGCAGCGCATCCGCATTTAGTTTCAGTTTCCTTTCTTGGGATTTCCATCCTTATTTTAGAAAAGAAGTCTCATTGAAAATACTGAGCTAAGCTTCAAATCAGTTCCAAAAATGAAGGTTCCTTAGCATGTTAATTTGCTGAGTTGTAAAAATTAGAGATTTTCTACAGATTTGTTTTCATACTTTTTTCCAGTTTTATTAAGAAGTAATTGATACACATTGTCTAAGGTGTAAGGCATAATAGTTTGACTCACAGGTTTGATGAATTGCTCACCACAATAAGTTTAATTAACATCTGTCATCTCATAAAGATATAATAAAAAGAAAAGAGAAAAATTTCTCCTTGGGATGAGAACTGTAGTATTTGATGATTTGCTTAAATTCCCATTCATTTGTTGGTTGAATGAAACCTGAGGCACCTAAGTTCTGTTTGGGGATTTTTTTTAACCTCTCAAGTATGCTCTTAGGCTTATAAATTGAGTTTTTCAAGAGTATAAACTGTTATGAAACATTTTTAAATTGTTGATATTATATATATATGTGTGTGTGTGTGTATATATATGTCTTATATATAGCTTTATTAATTTATTTTTTGTTTAATACACTTTTCTGGTTTTTTCTCTTTAATCCAGAAATAGACAAAAAGAAATATTACAAGTACAGCAAAGAGAAGACAATAAAGTGGCTGGAAAAAAAGGTATAGTACATCTCTAATACCTTACGGCAGAAAAAGTTTAATGCTCTTTTTTAAAAAACTGTTTAGAGAAGGTGCTAAGTGTGAATCAAATGGCCATCTTATATATCCAGCTAAAAGAGAAAACCTGTATAAAGATATCCAAATATGAGGGGCGCCTGGGTGGCTCAGTGGGTTAAAGCCTCTGCCTTTGGCTCAGGTCATGATCCCAGGGTCCTGGGATGGAACCCCGAATCAGGCTCTCTGATCCGTGGAGAGCCTGCTTCCTCCTCTCTCTCTGCCTGCCCCTCTGCCTACTTGTGATCTCTGTCTGTCAAATAAATAAATAAAATCTTTAAAAAAAGAAAAAAAAAGATATCCAAATGTGAAAAGAAATCTTTTACTTTTCATCCTCCCTAACTCATCTCTGGAGTTAGCTTGACATTTTCCTTTGACCTGTATCCCCATTGCCCGTGATCCTCACCACTGGACGAAAGAAGTTCTCACTACTTGGTGATGGTAGATTTGCGTCTTCCACGCCAGGTAATGTGGATGCACATTTGTTGCTGTTAGTCCTGCTGTTGTCTCAGAGGTTTCGTTGTTCACACAGCAAGGCAGGGGTCTGAGGCAGACGCGATCCAGGCTCAGAGGAAGTGTGCCTCACTCTCAGCGTCTGGTTGCTTGAGGGATTTTAGTGATCCTAAAATGCTAGAACTAATATAAGGTCTAGGGCAGTGTTTTTCAAATTGATTTAGTGGGTCACAGCCAGTATTTCTCTTGGGATGGAATGAGATGGGATGGGATGGGATGGGATGGGATGGGATGGGATGGGATGGGATGGGATG